TGAGCCGTTTATTTTGAAAGTGGCATAAGTCACTTTACCGTAATGAAAAGTGGTGATTTTTTAATGTTTATACGAAATTATTTATACCGAGAAAAATATCAGTATCCTGAGATAACAAATACAAGTAAATCGTCTCGAAAGTTAGCATCCATATTTTTAAACGTGTTGAAACGCAAACCCTTCAATATATCGACTTAAAAACAAAGTGACTTATGCGCCACTTTCAAAATAAACGGCTCAATTATTGTAATCCAATGCTTATCTAGCGATCGTCACTGCCTATGTTATGGGGAGAATTATTCACGAATAGGAGGCATTGTCATTGTCTCAAAAATTATGAATCACTCTACAGGGTGTTCCTAAATTATGGTACTTCCGAAACGATTAATGCTTTCAATCGTTTTCATCAATCATTTAATCGAACTAAAGATTTTTATTGATTAATGACCAACACTGATATGCATGTATACTAGTTCCTGATTAACCATAATGCATATGTATACTGAAAGTATGTATTAATAATAGTAATTTTAATTTTTAGTAATATTATAATAGTAATTTCTACTAAAACAGAAGAATGTTCTTGCACACTGAATATGATTAACCATAATGCATGTGTATACTGAAAGTATGTATTAATAATAGTAATTTTAATTTTAGGTAATATTATAATAGTAATTTCTTCTAAAACAGAAGAACATTCTTGCACACTGAATATGATTAACCATAATGCATGTGTATACTGAAAGAGTATGTATTAATAATAGTAATTTTAATTTTAAGTAATATTATAATAGTAATTTGTACTAAAACAGAAGAATATTCTTGCACACTGAATGATTAACCATAATGCATGTGTATACTGAAAGTATGTATTAATAATAGTAATTTTAATTTTAAGTAATATTATAATAGTAATTTCTCTTCTAAAACAGAAGAATGTTCTTGCACACTGTTCGCACGAGTTGTCACATTCGAACTGTTCTTTTCATTTCCATTACAGTTTCTTTGTTGTCATCATTGTTCTCAAAAATTGACGTACAAACCCTTAAATATATCGACATAAAAACAAAGTGACTTACGCCACTTTCAAAATAAACGGCTCGATCGTTACTCGATTAATCCGACCGCGTCGAAATCGAAAACATCGTTCGCCAGCCTTCGTCTCTTCGATTCGAACGAACATTTGGCCAGCCCTGGTTCCGAGCAAGGTCACCCGACGCCGGCTCCGGAAAATCCGACGAGAGAAACGATCGTTTCTCGAGGGGGGCAAGCCGCGCGTTCCACGCCACTGGCAGGCGGTTGATGTCACCGTGGCCGTATCCTCTGGATAATAGAGTCCGCGACTTTAATGGACTCGCTAATCCTCTTCCCTGTTTGTCGGCGAGTCCGTTCGGGGGTCGGGGGACACGCATTCAGGGCGCACGGGGAGAGACGAAGCTCGGGGCAGGGCGTTGTGACTGCGGTGCACGCACATTTCGGGGCTGTTCTCCGCCGGAGACTGCAACGCGTGGATCGCCGTGCGCGCGACAATGGAGGGGCTCTCGTTGTCTACCGTCCCCGTAGCATCCCCGGATCGCAGGAACGCCCCTTGTGCGGATTCATCGGTGCGATGATACCTTGATTTCTCGAGTGACGAATTGAATGCACTTAATGCGCCGCGGCGCGTTTAACGACGTAATTTGACGCAACGCCGGGCTGACATGCACCCCTTCGCTTTGCGGCCGGCCAGATCGCGTATCTTTGCTACGTCAGACGTCGCTCTTCTTCCGTCGACGATGAACTCGCGACGCGGTTCGTTGACGCATCATTCCGCATCGGAATCGTCCGAGATTCTCCGCGAAGATCGCCGAGTATTCGAGGCGAAAATCGGCACGCGACAGTGCAGTTTTATTTTTCGATGGCTTTTCGAGTCGCTTGTGCTTTCTTTATACAAATTTAGGTATTATCATTACGTATATTTGTTGTTATTATTGTTATTATTCTTCCGTATATTCGTTGTATAAATTTTGGAGATCGCGGATCCGCAGATTTGCATCGTTATACTTAATTTTGCGACAGCTAATAATTATATATATAAATTATATATTAATATATATATATATTATAATAATATATAAAATTTATATAATATATAATATAATATTAATGTAATATATATATATATATATCTATATATATATAAATTATATTACATATATAAATATATATCCCGCCGAGGAAAAGACTCCTTGCGATGTAAATGAAATCGAAATGTTATTAATTTTGATCGATATACATATCATTTCCTATTAATACATTGTCGACGGATTCAATACACCACGCATCTTATCGTTTACAGATCCATTTATTAATAAAAAATACGATTCAGCGAAGAACAGCTGACATTTTTCTAACCCTTTATATTCGTAAAGCATTTTATATATAATTAATTCTAAGAACGATCGACATCCGACATGTACGTGTTACCTGAACAGTTGAGTGATAATTAAAAAACGATAAAGGGTTAAGGTTAAGCCATTGCAACCATCAGCTACCAACTAATAAATAACAGTAATAAATCACACCCTTAGAACATATTAATATTAATATACACCTTCGTTTATGCGACGACGTCCCACAACTACGTAGATATTGATATGAGAATCTATTGTTATCGTGTACGGTGCTACTGCAGGGGAGAGAGACCTTACGATAGCTATCTTTCTAGAAACAAGGTACATTCGGAAAGTGAATCAATTTCAAGGCAGGAATAACGGTAAATGGAAGCGAAAACGATTGGATACAAAGAATGACAGAACAGGGAACGATACAAGGCTGCTCGCGTAACGGAATCGATGCAGCGAGAGGATAATGTTGAAACTGCAATGAAAAAGCTGTGTCTCGCTTTTTTCTTCCGAATAAACGCTCGAAACGATCCGCTCGATCGGCGATGAAAGGAAGAAACGGTAGGAAAGATCTGATCCCGATTCAAATACTCGAACAACGTTAATCACAGTAAATTCTCCCTAATTGACGCTCAGATTGTACGCGAAACTGGGCAATTTGGGAAGAGAGCAGATACGATTATAAAATTATATAAAATCATTTATAATAATTATATAAAACTATATATTATATATATAATATAATATAATTATAATATATAAATAATAATTATATATTATATATAAAATTATATAATATAATAATATATATTATATATAAAATTATATAATATAATAATATATATAATATATTATTATATAATATAATAATATATATAATATATTATTATATAATAATATATAATAATAATATATATAATACTTATATAAAATTATATAAACAATTCATAAGCACGAGGCACAAGGCTCGAATAATCGCATCTCTGCCCAAATTGTCCATTCACCTAACCGCGAATTAGGGAGAATTTACGGTAGTTTCCGCTCAAATATTCGAACGAGATCGAACGAATCCAACTCCAACCCTTTCACTTTTGCAAATATCACACCGTGGGACAGCTTTAATCTACGCTTTTTGCTCTATGCTCCGCGCTTAGAATTCCGATTAATTAGTCAGACTCTTCTGGAATTGTAGCAGTTGTTGAACGTGCGGCGGCAATTTCGACGAGTATTGCGGCTGTTGCGGCTGTTGCGGCACGTTGTAATTCGGTCTTATCTGCTGCTGCTGGGGATAATTAGCCGGTTGGGGGGGACGGTACTGCGGTTGCTGGGGGACGATCGGTTTCTTGTAGTTCGGCTGCTGGGCCCCGTTCCCGATCGACACCTGCGGTCG